AGGGTTCAAAAGGCTGGGAAGCCTCTAGGCTGGGAAGCCTTAGGGTTCAAAAGGCTGGGAAGCCTCTAGGCTGGGAAGCCTTAAGGGATCAAAAGGCTGGGAAGCCTCTAGGCTGGGAAGCCTCAGAAGAACATTGAGACGGCTTGAAAAGGCGTGGAATCCATCATTGTCATTTTATAACGGCTGATAGTGGGACGTTGGACGGACCCTCCCTTCTGACGGATCTCATTTCATAAACATGTTGCATCCGATTTCTGTTTGCTCCTGGATCTATCTAGGTCATTTTATAAACTACTTGGTTTTTATGAACGAAAATACCTGTCCCCCTCATTTTATACACAGTAATGGTTTATAAAATGTAAAATCGCAGCGCCTATAGACAATCAAGGGGGATCCACATACAGGTTTGTTTTGAACCCAAACAGGTTCCCAAAAAGCGGTTGCAATGCTTGCACCAAGAAGACACGGTGTTTCGGTCGTCGACCTCGCTGACGCGTCTTCCGCCGGAAGGTGCCAATCGTCGGAGGGATTGGCAACCACGACATCCCTTGGCTGCTTGGCGGGTCGTGGAACGGTGAGCGGAGCAAACTGAGCTGGAACGCTTCACAGAGCCCCAGGTCCAAAACCATTTTGGAACAACATCCCAGATATGACTAGATGGAGGCAAACTGCAACATACTTAGATCTTGATTGGCAAGAAACTCCGCCTAACTGTATTTAGGCTGAAAACCATGCCCGTTTTTACTAAGAATGCCTAAACTGCAGCCGGGTTGAATACGCCGAGACACAATATGCATTCTTAGATGCAGGAGGCAGAACCAGAATTTGAAAGAACAAATATTTCAGAAAACAATGGTTGGCCACCTGAGCACCTGATGCTACGTAGTCCCCGATCTAAAGTATGTTTTTTGAATTTCATTTCACTCACCCCCCCAAATGGCCACCACCCAACTCCTGATTGTGGCGAAGGGAACAGGTATGAATGCCTAAGTAACAGGCAAACACGCCTAAGCAACAGGTAAGAGCAAACACACACCAACAAACGTTGAAACAATGAATCAATGCATAGAAACACTACAAAGCAACATGCAAGTGAAGCATCAAGTGAATTCCTGATTTACAATGAAACATTACTGTGGATATGCGTGGAACCAGTGCTGGGTGGATCCCTATTGGACAAGAAACGCCGGCAAGAACACCTATACCGCCGGACAAAGGCAGACATTTCTGCCGCAAAAGAGGTTCTGGGTATGTATTTTTTTTGACGGGATGGCAGTATTCTTACTAGTGCTTATAGTATAGTAATAGGAATAGCACGAATAATCCACTGCTATATGTAGAATGCATTCATGTATGCATTCATTCATTCCTTGCTTTGGCAGCAGACAGGGCCATTGATTAGCCCTTCCATTGATTTTAGATCCTTCCTCTCTGTAGACCTACCTCCCCGTGTGTTGGCTGGGCATCTTCGTTTTCTACGTGGTGGAACCTTTTTAGGTTGGTTAGTCAATGCAGCTTTCAATCAGAATGCAACATGCATCTATATTTATATGCATTGAGCACATATATATACATATAATATATCTTCACATATATATATATACACTATTAAACCACAAAAACATATAAAGAAAACACTTCAATTGGCATATGATTTGGTTGTAAGCGTTGTACCTCTTTTTATTTCAGCTGCATGTAGCATCGCATGTACTCATTCCTTTCGAAAACACACACGCCTCCAACTCCTTCGAACCAGCTGGGCCGAGGCCTGGGCCGAGCCGGTCCCGACCTTGCTGCGGGGCGACGACTTCCCTCCGCCCAAGAGGTGAGCGGCGCCCAAGTGGCGCGGTGGGGTGAAGCCGCCGGTTTGGGCGGTGGGGTGCAGGACCGAGCGATAAGGACCTGAGATAGACTGAGACCAAGTCACATGGTGGAAGAGGAGTTCGGGCCCCACTTGTTCGTAGAGGAAAGGAAAGTCGTCCGAAATCGGGCACCATGCCATTCGTTTCCATGTTAGTGAGTCAGAGTGTTACTAGAAAACCAATAAGAGCACCCCTGCTGAAAAGACTAGAGACACTTTTCCAAAGGTTATCGCAACCATGAGTGTAATGTGTAATTGGGGGACACACAAACAAGAGTGTTTTCTTGGTGAAGGGTTTCAATTGAAGACTCTAGAGTTCTAGAGGTGTGGATTGAAATAGGGATACTTTTTCAGAAAAGGACGAGACTAAAGAACTCATGTGGTGCCAGGGGCGCTTCCAATTTGAAAAAAACCTATACCCTAGCTTTGATTACTCTCGCGCTCACTGACATGGAAGTGGAGTTCACCCCCTGTTCGTAGAGCAAAACAAGTAGTCTTCCAGACGCCGATTTTCCACTTCCATGGCAATGGGTTCGTGAGTGTGTCTCTTTGATTCACAACGCTTGGAGGTGGAGCTTGAGGTTTGTAGAGGAGACGGGCTCCTTTTCTTAGCCAACTCAGTGTGGAGTTTGCTGTTTTGTTTGCCAGGAGAGTGGGGATGAATGTGGCTCATGAGTGGGGTATGAACCAATGTTTGACTACTGTGCAACATATGCAAACATTTGTGTAGTGTGCATGGATTTTGGTTGTTGGAATGCCTTAAGGGCGTATATGGATCGGCTCAGGCATGAGAGGTCGCTCCAGACCGCCCGTTGAGTCCAGGACCCGACCTTTGGACCCTTGGGACCTAGTCTGGTACTGAAACACCTCATTGAGCAGGAGTGTATGACTGGTCATTGAGAGGTAGGTATCCAGTGACCTGAACGTTCGGCCTACTGGGGTACCGAACTGGGATAGTCGAACAAGTAGGGTCCTGACCCACCTCTGGTATGACTGGTATGACCATCTGATATTTTCAGGAGGCCAAGTCCGTCCCTGACCTGTAGAGTAGATGATATGTGCGATTGGAAAGAATGTCCCATCGTTCAAGTTTGATCTACCAAGAGAGGTTGAGAGACCTGAACGTTCGGACCCTGGTCTGTGGTACATATGGGATGGGCGACCTTAGGGCCGTTCAACCCCTCTTGGTATATATATATATATAGATACTCCGTATCAAAAACCTGCTGACCATTGGGATCAGGGCACACTAGTCACTTGCATCCACACTCCCCAGAATTCTCAATCGACCAAAACAATGAACTACACTCTCCAAGCAGCCCACACAGAAGCAAGGATGATCCAACAAGTGTTACCGAAAGGTTCAGTTGCTATCAACAACTCCACGGCAACTCTTCCACTTGGCACGACTCGGCGGCGTTCCCCCGTTTCGACCTGCTGATGACCCCCCCCCGACCGGTCACGGTGGTCTCACGGCGGCGACTCCGAGAAGCGGTTCGGCCACGGGGTCAGGGGCGACACCGTCTTGCCGGACCACACCAAGCCCTTTCAGCACTACGGCCAGGCGCGGCCGACGCGCCCGCAGACAGCAGGTCAACCACTTCTCCCCGCCCGCTTCGCCAACAAAAGGAAAAGAAACAAAACACTAATACTGAAGGGCTGAATGGGGGGTCATGGTGGAGGGAAGATCTCCAGTTCGATGATTCAATTCATGTTGGGAGACCCAAATGTAAGCTGAGAAAAAGCAAAAGGATTTGTTTTAGACCTGTAGGGCCAAACTGAAATCTTTGCCAGCGAAACCGGGATGGGTCAGAGACAATCGAGAAAATGACCGTTTCTTTACTATCCACACTTGTGTCGCACTGATGTTGCAACGGACCTGTGGGAACTTTTCGCACATGTTCGTGGTGTGTGCAGAGTCTCTGATCATCTCAGTTGCGGCACTTCAGAATCATCTCCGGCCAGCTTCATTCAGTTTCAATGCAATCTGAGACAGAAGACCCCCAACATGGCTGCATCCTGATCAGACCAACTTGTGGATCTCTTCTTGCTTCAGACCATCCCGCCTTTGTCAGACCTCCACCTCTTTCGCTTCCGCACCACCTCCGCAGCCAGGCAAAGGAGATTCCGACGGGAACCCCTCCACAGGACACGGGCCTCCGCGGCCTCCGCGCTCCGCGAGCAGTTTTGGGGAAGGTCGGGGATCGGGTAGCTTGAAAGGAACAAATCGTGAGCCTCACAAATTCCAGATCCATGTGCATGAATGGCTTCAGTCCCTGGCTGCTCTTGTGCCTTACAATTGTCATGAGTGTCTTACTCTCCACGATCATTCATATTGACACCGCAGGTGCACGTGCATGTTGTTTGCTCACATCCTGCGTTTCGGAGTCATAACCATGTTTCAAACATGTTCAATCCCTTTGGACCCCGCAAGGGTCTTGTGTGGAAGGGTCCGTGAGGGGCAGAGTCCGATGTGGGTTAAGTTCCAGACATGAAATATGTTTTCACTTCTTATAAGGGCATCTTCTCCAGTAGGCATTGTGTTGGCTCATCCATGTCAAGGCAACTTCATGTAGGCTTCAGAAGTGCCCTGTGAGGCTCCATGTGAGCACAAGGCTGCATGGTGCCGACGCGAAAGTGGTATGTTGCAAACTTTGTCACATTGGTTTCTTTTTGGGTCCAACGTAAATTAGCCCCTTACTGAGAGTCTCAAATGTGAGCACAACAGATTTATTTTGAACATACAGTGCCCAACTGATGAAAGCACTGTCTGATACATGTCCAATCATTTCCATAGATTTCCGATAGGAAACTCTCACTGTGCTGACTAGTTCAGAACATTTTAGAACCATCTCTGTAGATTCTACCTTCAAGGTTTGATTGTTTGTAGACTGCTCTCAAGCATCCAAGGTGAGGTGAAGGGGTCGATCAGCTTTGGCAATGCCTTTTACGTTCACCACCACTGCAGGTCGATTTGTTGCTTTACCCAGACGCTCCAACCCTCAAAACCTAGGGATTTGAGACCCCAGACCCCTCCATATGAGGGTGATTTCTTGATGTGATTTCCACATGGTATAGATTTGTTTCTTATTAATTTAGGTCAAAACCAGCTCCTTCGCCGGACTCTTGGGCGCACCAAACCCCACCCCCCAAACGGTCCCTCCGTGACCCTCCAAGTCCTCTGCCGTCACGGGCCCCGCCCCGCCCCGCCGCAAAAGCGTCGCCGCACGCGTGCGCCCGGCGGCGCCTTTGCGCGTCGCGTCGCGTCCGAAAGTGAGGAGTTCCCGAAGATCGATCTGGCCATGCTCCGAGCCGAACGGGACCGGGCCGAGTCCGTCGCGCGCGTTGGGCGGTGTGGGCGGCGGTGCGACGGCTTCGTCCTGGGTTCGGCACGAAACCTCGGTGACCGGTGGGAAGAAGGGGAGGTGGTGGGAGTGGTGACGGGTGGATCCGGCACGAGGCAGTGTCCCGGGACACTCACTGTCTCACAGTAACCAAAACTTGAACAAAATGAAACCAAGCCAATTTATATTATAGTTATTTGATGTTAGGCCCTGGCTCCCATCCATGAGAAGGCCTTAGATGCAGCTAGTCGGTGTGTTGTTCATTCGATCATATTCGATACAACTTTCAGGTGATGCTTTTCTGTTCAAGTGTGTTGTTCATGGGTGCTTGAGGAACATGAACACTTGACTGATGGACATGGTGCTGATAGCCTGACTTCTTCAGCTGACTCACTGTGGCAAAAGCCTTGAGGTATGGCGAACAACTTCCCTTGTTGATGCGTGGATTTGAGGCAGGCAACAAAAACTGGCCGTTATTCATACCATTTCATACCTTAAAATGGTCAGGTGCGATGCATTTGTACAGATGTGTACAGTACAGGAGGATCCGAAAGATCAAACTGAATCACAAACCCTAGGGCTCCAAGTACCTCCGCAGATGGTATGACTGGACCCTCTAAACCAACCCAAGGTACTTGGAGCCCTTGGGAAATGGATAAGCAATGGCAGTTCGTCCTTCCCAGATGGCTTCCAGATTCCAATCAAGTCAGATCAACCACGTTTTGCCAGGGGGATTGACATTTTAGACCAGATCAACCACGTGTCTTGCACGTGTTGACCCACATGTTTTAACCATGAACTATCAGGGAAGTGAAGCGGACATGAACAGACCCAGTTGTTTGGCCATGTGAAATAACTTGCCAATATTGTGCGCTTCTTCTGTACAATTGGAGGAAGAATGTCTCAAACATGTCTCAAAGGTGTCTCGCCCCATGTTTCTTCCTTCCAACCAGCAGTCACGTTCGACGGGGTGCCGAACGAACGGACGACGTCGGGGTGCTGATATCTCCACTCACCGGATGGGACGAGCCAAACCACCCAACTCCATGTGACACCTTTCGAGGACTCCAAAAAAAAACTGTTCTTATATAATGTCCCTTTGGAGGACTCCATGTGACACCTTTGTGACATCTTTGAAGAAGAACCACCCAAAGTCTACCCAAACACTCCATGTCTGTCATAGGACTGCCGCCCCATTCACCCCTCTGGCACCACCACCCCAACTGATCGGTATATACCGCCAGTCCCATGTGTCGTGTTTGTGTCATGTTCTTCTTCATCTCCAAGGGGTGGTGTGGCTCGTTTTATTGAGGGGCCGTGGAGGTGTTCTGGGGCACCCAACTCCTTCCTCCGTTCGTTCGGCACCCCGTCGGTCTCGTGACTGCTTCCACTGTTGGACGCCTCTGTGGAGTCCCTCATGCGCCTCATGGCCACTCCACAACTCTTTCGGTCGTCGTCCCTTGTCTCATCGGGACGGAACGAGGTCCGACGTCGGGTCTGTCAGCTGGAGCGGCTCCAGTGAGCCTGGCTGCATGACATGTGCATGACCAGCCACTGACCATGGCCACTGAAAGTCCTGGTTACGGGCGGAAAGTCACCAAGAAAGTCACAAAGCATGATCGACCAGCACCTACAGCACCTACGATGATCATCTCCAGTGGAGGTCAGTCCCTGACCTAATTGTGGGGCAGAAGGAATGAACGTTGAGATGCCAGCACCTTCCTTTCCTCGGGTGTTTCGCCCGGAAGCCTGGCAGCCCCAAAAAAACGACTGCCGCGGCCTCATGGATCTCCAGACAGGACACGTTCATCGAGTTCGGAAGATCCAGGGAGAACGATCCAGTTCGGTTTTGACACGATGGTGACAACGGATCCTGTGTCGAAATGGTATGCCGGTATGCCTTTTGCATGTTACATACTCAATTGAAAAATAGACCAACAGAAAAGAGACTGCAAAACATGTTGACTGGGTGTGCCTTTGGGATACTGCGGCTCTTGGATGCAAGGGAATGCACACTATAGAGGGAAAGGATTCACCCCGCATCGAAACAAGAACATCATCATAAACCATATTGTTATTTCTATTTGCTCTCATGTCAGATTATTTCCTATTATTTCTTTATATCTCCTATAGCAAATTCCCACTCTCAAAATTCCTCAAATGGTGTCAAGATTTCGTCTATCAACAGACTTGGTCAGACTTGGTGAACTCTTGCAATCCAGAGAACGGCCCTCAACACCTTTCGTGTTTTGGGAGGATGCGAGGGCGTTTTTAGTTTTCTGGACAACCAGGCACCTTCCCAGGCAACCCGGCACCGCCATGCGCCGTGCCATGCGCCACTTACCATGGCTAGCCATCCTGTGGCCGAGTCACGCAGATGAGTTGAAGATGGATGCTCGGCGGGATTCGAATGCTTCTTTTAAAGACATAACCCAGACACTCCATGGGACTGCCATATATGCCTACATGGTGGTGGTGCCAGGGGGTCAATGTAGGCATATATGGCATACATGGAGTGTTTGGATAAGGGCCAGACATGATGTACACTCCCTGAAATCATCATGGTGGTGGAGTTTCCGCAAAGATTGTAGAACATAATACAACTATCTTTGATGGGAAAGACAAACACATCAACATATCACCACTATGTTCTGTATCATGTGGGTGTAACCAATCTCCGAAACCATCCAAACAATACTCAAATTCGACCTGAGTTCCTTCACTACACTCCCCAGACTTAAGTGCAGAACCCCGGGTTTGTACACACTGTTGGTTGCTCAGGGGTTGCTGGATTTGTACAGGCAACCAATAGTCGGGGAGAAGCCATTTTTAGTACAAATCCACCTATACTATTGATTCCCACTAGTAATGATCCATGCACACTCCTTGCTTCTCCCTACTATTGCAATAGTAGGGGAGAAGCCAATTGTTAGAGGATTCCCACCTCCACGTCGCTCAGTTCACGAGTTGTGGCTTGGACAGAACATCGCCTGGACAGAACCGCGCGACGAAGGATTCCTCTCCCACCATTCTTTTAATCCCTAAGAATCAAGCACCCTCAAAGGTGAAGGTTTTGAGGGTCCAAACCCCTGCTATGCAGAGTCAAAACCCTCCATATGAGGGTCCAATGATTCTTAGGGATGGTTCGAATCAACCATTCATTGTTTCACTAAGGATTTTATGCTATCAAACCCGGTCGAAGCATCTTTTTGAGGGTCGAACGTGAAAGGCGACCGGGAATGGGCTGATCTTGCAGGGTCAGTTGGATCGATCATCAACTAGGGAGACTGACCCCCGTGAACGAGCCCCTGGAAGAAGGGAAATAGACCAAACCCCACTGGTTAGGGGATCTCCCAACAATAAAATATGCACCCATGTGGAAATATATGGACATATCATTGAATTTTAGGATCTTCCAGCGTGATATCGCAAGGCATGTCAAGAGCAGTTGCTTGATTCCTGATCTGGAGTCTATGTCATAGTGGATAATCCCCCCAACATCGCTTTTTGGCCTAGGCTCCAGTCGTAGCTCCTGAGGTTCGGTATGACTGGACCCTCCAAAAACCCACCCCAGTCCCACCTTTGAGCTCTGGAGTTAACGAGTTCGTTTCTTGGCGTGTGGCTCTGCATAGTGTCCAAATCGACCCCCCCCCTTGATTCTTCCCAAGCTTCCCATCGCTCCATCCTTCGGCCAACCATGCCCGGGCCACGCCACTCATACACATTCTCATGCACGTTCTCCGCCACGTTTCGCTGGGACGATGGGCCCCACGTTTCGCACCACGAGGAAAACGGCATGAGGCTGGATCTGGCGATGCGAGATGCTTGGACCTGCGGAGTGCCGGGTCACGGGGGTATGGTCCTGGGGCGACTCGATCTCCGTGTGTTTCATGCAGGGTGAGGTACGTTTTGTGAGTATCAAGTATACCTGAGATAATCTGAAATATAACAATTGATACAACGAACACATACACATCTTATAGCCATATTTAGCCTATATACTCGTTTGGCCGGGCAGCCAATATGATGGCTCGGGTGTTTGAGCAAGCCCTCACAGTATTCAACCTTCATTTGAGATGGTTGGCGCCCACCCAAGGGTAGCAAAGTTTGGACGTCAAGTGTGGAAATAAGCCCAGACATTCCATGGGACTGCCATATTTAAAGGCTTACGCCTAACAGCCGGGCGGGCCCACTTGGGTCTGTGTAGGGCTGAGTCGGGCGCACATTAAGCTATCGGGGGCGTACTGGGCCTTGGGTGGTGCCAAGGTGGGAAACTGGTCCGCGTCGGAGACGGGGGCCCCATATTGAGCAGAGTTAAGCTATCTGGTGCGCATCTTGGCCCTAGGTTGGGCCAAGTTGGGCCATGTGGTCTATGTTGGGCACATCTTGGGCCCATGTTGAGCCTATGTTGAGCCTATGTTGGCCTATGTTAGGCCTATGTTGGCCTAGGTTGGGCCTATGTTGGGCCAACATAGGCTATGTTGGCCCTATGTTGAGCCATCTTGGAGGCTATGTTGAGCATATGTTGGGGATATGTTGGCTATCTTGGGCCTATGTTGAGGATATGTTAGGCAATTTAAGTCGTCTGGAGGGCCTCTACCCACAAAATGTCGATTAAGCTTGTCCGCCCGGCGCGCATTACCGACACCACCCTTGAAAAGCGCAGCGTTTTTGCATTTCTCCATCTTCGCCGCGTCGCACTTCGATATGCGCAATAAACCCTGTAAAGCACTGTTTTTTATACTTCACACACACAAAACACGGTAAATTACGGCGATTTCAGTGAACCGGACGGGGGACCGAGCATTTATCCGGCCAGGGGCCCGGGGGGCCCCAAGGCCGTGTCCTTGCCGTAGGCCATCTCTCCTCCGAGAGGGGGGGAGTCCCACCCCCGCCGCCGACCCCTGCGCGGACTATCTGAAGCTACCGCGTTTTACAATGTTTTTGGCTTGTACCATTTTTCGGCTCTTGCGGCGCAAGATGGGTCAACATGGTCCAACATAGGCTCAAATAATGCTGGAAATGCATGCCGCACCGGGGTGCTTCGTCTGCATCGTGGGCGGCTGCTGGGCTAACAACAACAGCAACAACAACAACAACAACAACAACAACAAAACAAACAACAAACACAACAACAAGCACAACAACAAGCACAACAACAAGCACAACAACAA